AATTCCCATCTAAGGATAATTAGGATCTTCAGTGAAATGGGGGAATTTAAATATATATAAATATATACACAGACACACAATTAGTACGGCAAACATTCCTGCTTATTTATTCGTTTAAAAAAAAAAAATTAATTTCCCCTCACACACGTTTTTGTTTCCTCTCCCAATTCAAGTCACTGGAGTGGCTCTGAATAGATCTTTTTAGTCTGTTTACCTTTTAAACAATGCTGATCTAAGAAAATCTGCATGTTGTGTTTCTGCAGCGTTAGCCCTCTGACCTGCTGGAGAACTCTGCAGGCTATGAAGCAATAAAATTTCCCACTGTGGGTAAAGAGCCCACGGCAAGCAGTAATCAGTGCTCTTAAAAAGCGGTGAACATGCCTTGCATAAGTATATGTATTGAGTTTGTTAAATATTTATCCAGATTTATATTTGAGTAATAAAAATTACACGCTGGAAGTACGGTAACTTGTGTCTAAGTCACCCCCCCCCACTTGGCCTTGACGTTTAAGGGCTTTTCTGTTTAAATTGATAAAAGGAGCATTTTGTTTCTTAAGTAGGCTGCTGTCCTGTCCTCAGTTATAAATCACCGAGTTGAACTGGGCTTCAAGTCAGAATCTGAACAAACAAAAGGAGATATTAATGAGTATTTAGTTATATAGTTACAGTACGGCATACGCTCATAACAGCTTGGGAGAAGAGGTGGCAAAGGCCACTCACTGGACAAGGGGACCTAATCCTCCACCCATGGAAGTCAACTCCAAATGGGCAGATAGGAGCAGGTGCAGGGCCTTGGTCTGTTATAATCTAGGAGTTGAATTACTTCAGGTTTGATCCTGCCCCCATTGAAACCAGCATAAAAGATCCGCTGACTTCCTTAGTTCAGATCCGACTGCTTAAAATGCCCAATCTTATGAAATGCTGACTGCCTCCTGCAAGGCTGTCCTTCCTTGCCTTCTCATACTGCAGTACAGCTGGACATGGATCACGGACCATTACAGTATTCCCATAGATTGGAACCCAAATCCTCAAAGCATTTAGGTACCTCTTTAGGTATGCAACTCCTTTGAATATCAATTGGAGCTAGGCAGCTAGAGGACTTGGGCCATAGTGATTTAAAAGGCATAAAACTCAATACAATAATCTAATTTCAAGGGCCAAATCCAGATATGCAGGGATGTGTCGTTTGTGGTGCCGCAAACTGCGCACATTGCATGTTAAACCATGTGTGGTGCTGCAGATTTGCAGCACTGGAGCAAAATGTGCTATTGGGATTTCCCATAGCAAGAAAAAACCCTGGGGCAGGAAGCAATGCAAAGCATGCCAAAGTGGCACGCACCAAGACAAAGAAACACAGAGACCCTGCGCTGAGGTACCCTGAGCCCCGGGCAGCTGTTCCCTGGCTGTCTGGGTGAGGCACGGTGTGCCTCAAGAGCTGCCTGCTCCCCTGCCTCTGTGAGCCTGAGCGCAGAGGCTCTGTTGTGGAGCCCCCGTCTCGAGGCACATTGCACCCCTCCTCTCCGCTGCACATGGAGCAGCAGGACAATGTGTCCTTCTGCAAAAGTGCGCAGGCAGACACGTGCACTGTGGCACAAAGCAGCACAAATTTGTGCCACTACAGTTTGTGCTGCTACAAACGCATGCCCCTGCTCACATGGATGCAGCCAAGGTAATCAAAGTCTGGTTAGGTTAACGGAGATGTATAAACTGGGTGGTGTATAGAGCTCCAATGTCTATACAAAAAGAAAAAAAATAAAAAGTTAGGCACAGGGAGTGGCTCCTATTTAGGATTGCTCACTTCCAAGCCACGAAATGTAGTAGTGCTGTTGAGCATGGGGAGTCTTAATCCTAGAGTGCATATCTCTGGGGTTTATGGGGCTAATGGATCAGCAACTAAATAGGCCTCTGTGCCTACAAAAAAAAGAGTTTATATGAGCCAATATCTGGCCTACTAAAGAGAGTGTGAAGTCTCTGTGGTACAAGGCTTGCTTGCCCATGCTTAGTTTGAATTGTGTTAACATTTAATTAGGCTAATGTCCAGCTGTTCCTTCCAGGCACTTCTGGGTCTGTCTTAATATGAACAACCTGGTGGCAGCACATAACGCAGGGTTGTTTTTATGGGGGCCCAAGACACCAGAGAAAAGTAGGGATTTAGAAACAAAACAACCAGTTTAGCTTTTGTACAAAACATTGTTGTATTCCCTTGACACTAGGGGCGAGTGAGATGTTAATCTAGTTAGTGTTTTATTCTCCAAGCTCTTAAAAGTCAAAAGCAATTTTCACATAAAGTATCAAAACACTTACGGCCTTGGGTAAGGTGCCTGAGAAGTAATAACTGAAGAAGATAGTGGTGAACGAGAGGGTTACAATAGAAATGCAGCGTTTTCCTTGAGAAGTGCGATTACACGGTATCTGCACAGTAAGAGAACTTTTCAAGAGAAGCATTAGTCCTAGTTGAATTGCACTTGATCATACTCATCCGGGGCTTGTTTTTAGTGATGCACTTGTGTGTGCAGTGCATAATAAGTGATTAAGGACTAGATAATGCTCCGCGTTTGCTCCGACAGTCCCCAAACCAAAAACAATCAGTCACTTTTTCGTCACTGTCCCTCACTTCTCAGCGACTGTGAAAGGCACTTTGGATTTATAAGCATTGAGAGGGAAGAACAGGGAACATGCATCATCATTTGGCGAGACGAATGCCAAATGCTAGGGTGCTAGAGACTAAAGATTTGGCCTAAACACAGTAGGATACAACCTGTGCTCATGTCTCAGAAGTGTTTCTAAAGGCTTTTCTTCATACTGAAAATTTAGCAGCATCATTTTACCAATCTATTTATACTGCCACAATTATAGTTGCAGCTCTCTTTTATTCTAGAAAAAAACATAACATAAAACAGCAGAATATAACAACCCTGGTAAGTTTTCCCACCACCCAGAGAACCCCTAAGCCACTTTCGTGACTCCTCTATTTTCAAGCTGCTTTAATTTGACTGCTTATCATAGCTCCTGTAGAGCGGTCTACAGCCCAGACCTGCCAAAAGGAGAGGACACTTGCTGTCCAGGCCCAGCATGACTCTACATTGGGAGCTGCAAGGTGCGGAGGTGTGATGTAAGTGAGAGTTTTTCTAAGGATGCTGTAGCTATGTGAATAAAAGCTCCTCGATTCCAGCAGGAGCTGGGATCTGCCCCAACAGGTATAAAAACCACATTCATTTCTGCAGCACCTTTTTTAGATGCTGTTCTCAGTTAGTGGATCTGAGAAGCACATCTTTTGGAGAAAGTGCCTGGTCTGAAGTTTTATTTCTTGTTTCACTGCTCCACCTCCTGGTGGAATGATATCATGGTGGTTTTGCAAAACAGAGACAGCAGGTGTGTCTTCAACTCGGGAGCTCTCCGCTCCCCAGTAAACCAATATTAGTTTTGTCCCCTCTATCATATTGTGCTCTGTTAGTGGGACAGAAGCAGTTGTTGAAGCGGGCTGTAACATGAAAATGGCGATCGACCCATGCCTGTGTTTGTTGAGAACATAATTGCCGCTGATGGTGGCAGACCATCGGTCCATCTTGCCCAGTCTTGTGCGTCACACAGGGGTAGAGCACAGATGCTGAAACTGGGTGAGCAACTTGGGTACGACAAGGATTTGTTCCTCTGAACTGGGTACGACAAGGATTTTTTCCTCTCTCCGTTGAAGTGTCTAGCATTTAAAGGTTGACAAAGTTCTGGTTTGGAGGCTGTAGCCCGAACTCCTGTGTACAGTCGCAACCAATGCACCCTTTCTCCAAGAATTCATCCAGTCCCTTTTTCAATCTGGCTAAATTGTCAGCTTCCAGTGGCACTTCAATGTGAAAAAACCCAACACTTCCCTTTCTTTGTTTGAAACTTAGGACCTACCAGCTTCCATGTTGTGACCCCCAGTTTGAGAGTCAGCAAGTCATAAATCTGTATTTACTTGCCATTTAGTATCTTGCAAACCCTTCTCAGGTCCCCCCTCTGGGTCTGGGACAGACATTAAATATGCCAGTTTGAGCCAAATTAGTTCAGTCTGATACTACATTCAACCAGGTTTCTCTCAAACCAGTTTCAGCCATTTTCAAACTGATTTATGTGCACAGTTACAGGTTTAAACCAGTCTGTGAGCACTTAAACCAGTTTGTGTGTAATGCCCATCCCTAGCCCGGATGTCTCTTTTCTAAACTGACCAGGACTTGCCTCTTTAGCCCCCCCTCATAGGGAAGCCTCTCGGTACCACTCATTATCATTACTGCCAATTTTTTGGGCCTCCTCTGTGCCCTCCTAACGTCACCCACGGCTTGCAAAGGTGCAACATTGAATTCAGACGCCCGGTCGCATGCGTCCCCATTATTATTCAGGCGTTTTCTTGCGATTTCCCAATTGGTCTCATAAAAAAAGTATCATTTTGGAACCGAGAGGTCTAGTCTTTGGTATAAAATGCCATGATATTTAAGCACAATATTGTGGCTGGGATGCCCCAGGAATGACATCAGAGGCAAGGACATCGGAGGGCAACATCTCTTATTGGGCAGAGGTGCAATAGAGTTAGACGAGTTTTCAGGCGCCTAAAATGCCACGGGTGGTGACGGGGCATCAATGCCCAGGAAAGAACAAGGGGGCTTGTGTTAATTGTAGTTTGGGCCATTAGACAAGGAGACTTGGCCCAGGGAGACCAGACCAGTGATGCACTGAGCTAGGCATGTGCAAGGACAGCCAGGGCTAAATGCCCAGCTCCAGCTTCGGCTCCTTTCGGAACCTTTCGGCTCCTTCCGGCGGCCGAGCACTTCGGGAGCGCTCGGGCCCCACTGACGTCACTCGGCTCGGCTCCTCTCCCCTTCGGAACGCTTCGGCTACACCCGCGGGGCTCACGTGACGGCGCAGACCAATCCAGCGCCAGCACGCGCCGCGCTCACTGGCCCACGAGGCGAGGCGAGGCGAGGCGAGGCGGGCGGCGTTTTCGCACACCTCTCTCCCGCGGGGTATGCGTCCGCTCACGAAAAAAAAAAAAAGCCCTAGCTACCTCCCCGTCGGTGCTACCCCGCGCGCGCCCGGCCCGGCCCCACGGTACCTCCAGGAGTGGTGGGGAGCTCCTTTGAGACGCGGACTACGAGAGGCTGATCACGCCGTCCACCCGGAAGCACCACGAAGAGGGGCGGAGTGATCCCTACTAGGTCTGGCAGTGTGAGGCGGCCTTTAAAAGCCGCGGCGGGGGGGGCCGATGGGGAGTGGCGGGTGGCGCTTCGGTAGCAACGGGTAGGGGCTGGATTGGGTTTTCCCGGCCCTTAAAGTTTAAAAAGAAAAATAAATTTAAAAATTGGCGTCATTTAAAGTCAATTTCATTAGTGGGCTGGCTTCATTGAAAAAAAAATTAAATGAAAAAATCGGCTTCATTTAAAGCTAATTGAATCGATTGAATTAATTAGCAGGCTAGCTTCACTTAAAAATTTTTTAAAAGTGGTTTCATTTAAAGCTGATTTAATTAGCGGGTTGGCTTCATTTAAAAAACTTCAATTAAAAAATCAGCCTTGTGTAAAGCCGGTTTAATTAATTAAAATTTAATTCGCGGGTTGGCTTCGTTTAAAAATGGTAAAATTTTATGTTCTTGCATTTTTTTCAAAATGCAGGAGTGTAAAATAGGAAATGGGATACAAGGAAGGAGGGAACCAAAGAGCTCTGCTGTGGAGCCCAGGGGATAAATGATGGTGCCCTAAAACTGGGTTTTGTCTCCTAGGAAGGAAAATGACGGGCAGGGCCCGAGCCCGTGGGAGAGCCCGCGGCCAGGTGCTTCACACGACCTCCCTAGCAGCAGCTGTCGTAAGTGCCGGTTTTTGGGATCCAGGGCAAGTGCGTTTCGAAGGATGAAATGAAGTCCTAAGCGGCCCACAAAGGGCTCGGCTTCACATGAAACCTTTGGAAAGTGGTGTGGCTGATGCTGGTGTCGCTGCGGCAGCCTGCTTGGGCGTGTGCCTGTCTTACATCGTCCTTCACGCGGGATTAGTGCAGCGTTTCGTCACGGCGCCCTGGGAAGCGGTGTAGCCGCGTGGCTACATCCGGCTGGGTTGTCATGTCAGGTTAACAGGGCTGTTTGTGGTTCCCTGAGCTAGTCTCGGGAATGCGTTTTGAGAGCCATGTTTGTTTGAGACAAAAAGAAATGCAAAAATCTAGAACTCTTGGTTCACAGATGATACCTTTTATCAGACCAATTAAGAAATTGCAAAACAAAAAAAAAATTCTGCAAACTTTCCGGCTGACACACCCTTCCTCAGGCTCAGGGAAAGTTAAATGCAAAAATGAAATTTATTTCCTACATATGGGGACTTTTTACTCTCTTGAGCTTTCCCTGAGCCTGATGAAGGGCGTGTGAGCCCAAAAGTTTGCAGAAAAACTTTGCCCCTCTTGCTGGGATCCTTTGACCCCAGCTGACTTCCTGCCCCTTGGGCAGGGGCTGGACCCAATGATCTTGCAAGGTCCCTTCCATCCCTAATATCTATGAAATAAAAATTATTTTTTTGCAGTGTCTCAGCTGATCTAATAAAATGTATCATCTGTAAACTGAAAGTTTTAGATTTTGTATTTCTTTCTGAGCTAGTCTGGCTTTCTTTGCTCAGTATGGCACTAGCCCTGTAATGGCATGCCCTAAAGTAGGGGTCAGCAGGCTATAGCACATAGGCCTGATCAGCCGGTGAAGCAGTTGGATCTGGAATGGTGCGCTGACCCACTGTTGCAGGCTTGCTGTCAGATCTGGCCCTGTATTTAAAGGCCGGCTAATCGCATTGCTTCAGCAGAGGACTCTGAAGACAGTTTCTGTCTAGGTTGCAGCCTTTGCTCATCAGCTTAGCTACTCTAAGTTACCTCTTTCCACCAGTTTTGGAGGAGGCTGCATGGGGTGGGGAACAAGAGATCATTCCCTTTGCACAGAGCAGGAACAACTGAAGCACAGCCAGGTATGAGTGGTTTGTGGGGCAGTAAGGTTAAAGGTTGATAACCCCTGCCCAAAAATATTGTGTATGAGTGGGGGTTACCTATATTTATGCCATGCCAGACATTTCCTGGGGAAATACTTACGTAGCCATGCTTTGGCATGCATTGTTGGGCCCTTTGGTTTAAGTAGTTTTACCAAGAGCATTTTTGGATGTACCCAGTGATACTTGCAGTAGAGCTCTGACTTTCTGTAAGCAGTGCGGAGTGTGAGCAAGGCATGTTTTAGGGAAATATCCTACACTAAGAATTCCCTCATTGTGTCTCGTTACTTTTTGTCTTAATCATCCATCCATGAAGCCATGCCATTCATGGTTTTTAATTACTGAATTTAGCACTGTATGGAGCAGGATTCTGTTCTGTCTTGAGGTTCTTTGATTCTTTTAAAGAAGAGATGGGGAACATCCAGCCTGTGTGCTGGACCCAGTCTGCCAGGGACTTCATTTCCCAGCTGCCCCTGCCTGCATGACTTGTGCTGATCTCCATGGAGACCCCAGCCTCAGCAGGCTGCGGGGAACATGGGACAGGGGCAGCTTGCTGCAGAGCCACGATCTGTAGCCTGTATGCTTCGGGCAGGGGATCCTGGCTCTGCCCTGGCTCCTTGCAGCAGTGAGTGACAGCTTGTCTGGAGCAGGGCAGACCCATGATGCCCTGCATGCATGCCCTTGCGTGGTGCGTGCAGGCTACAGATAGCGGCTCTGAACCAAGCTGTCCCTGTCCCACATTACTGGCAGCTCCAGAGCAGCCCCCTGCACTGCTTTGCTGCACACGCTGCTGGCGCAGCTGAAGGTCTCCATGGAGACCGGCACAAGCCATGTGTGCAGGGGCTGCTGGGAAATGGAGTCCCCAGCCGACCAGAGGTTCCCCATCCCTGTTTTAAAGAAAAGGCAGGTAATTCAGTGCCATGTATTCTAAAGTCACCTTGGAGTGACAACAGGCTTTTTTTCTGCAGCAGTCCCCTTTTCCACTGTAGTCTTAAGGTGTGTGAAAGTTGTCTATTACATAAGCAGTTTCTGGAATATTTCAAGGCACCAAGAGGTTATATTTCATATGATATAGTGCCATAATGACGGTTTTGGTTTCCCTACCCCCTTTTTTGAACAGATGGAAGGGGAAGCTTGGGGCCAACATGTTAGCAGTTCTAAAAAAAGCACTCTTCTTGGACATATGGGGCATGTCCCCATGAGCAGGAACATGCATTCCCTGGGGACAATGAGCAGCCCAACCCTGCCCTGCTTTTTTTCTGGCATGGGTTTTTTTGACAGTGGGAACTACTGGTGTCAGTGAACCTCACTGCGCTGCAAATTAGCACCACAGCAAATGTGTGCACTTGTCTAGACGCGTCCATGAAGTCAGCATACTTTTTGTGTAATATTTTCATTGAATAATACAGTGTAGTAGGTCATACTATATTCAGTGTTTTCTTTCTTAAACTCATTAGAATTTAGGTATGCCACACTCCATATAGCGGCTAGCAACAATAGATTTTATGTGATGTCAGTGAATGTTGTCCCTAACTAACATACTTTTCAGGGTCCACCAGGTTTCCAAAGTCAGCAGCTTGGACAACCTAGACTGCAGCTGCAACCACAGCCACCCCCACCAGCAGAAGGAGAATATGTTGGCCGTGGGCATCAAAAAGGGATCCCATCTGTACCAAAGCCACCAAGTGAAGCAGGAAGTAAGTGAGCCTTATTGCCCATTGGAACACATTTTTAAAATTGATTTGATTAATATAACTCAGTAAATCTACTATACTGTAAACTTTCTGGTTGTTCTCCACAAACTCTAGAACTTCAGATATCAGCTGGCTTTCAGGAGCTGTCATTAGGAGAGAGGGGTGGACGGCGTCGAGATTTCCATGACCTTGGAGTAAATACTCGCCAAGCCATAGAACATGTTAAAGAATCAAAAACAGGTAGGTTAAAATCATGGTTGCAGCTGCAGTCTAGGTTGTCCAAGCTTTGGCTTGCTTGGCTTTGTCTAAATAGTACACTGGGGTAATTTTTATTGCACTAGCACCTGAAGGAGCAAGCTGCGGGGCTGTGATCTGATTGTGGTAGGAGTTGTGTTAAAGGAGAGAGAAAATGAGGAGGAATACTGGGGAAGATGGTCATTAATGCACAACTTCTGTTTTTTAATCCATTGCGTTGAAAACATTCTGACATGTTTTGGTATTTCTGGCTACTCTGCAATAGAATTGCTCTATTATTTTTCCATACTCAAACTAAGTGAAAATTCTGAGCTAGCATTTTGAGGGGTGTTTTGATTTTAAGAAGGTTGAGAACCACCAATTCATTGCTCATACATTTTATAGTGGAACAAGAGAAGAACGAGGGGGGGTGGGGGAGGGAGTGGAATCCAAACCATGTTTCTGTGTCTTGATAACTTATGTAAACTTCTGATTAGCAAACTCCTGTTTCATGCAAGGATCACTTAACATTCCTTGCTTACCATTTCATGCAGAAGTTGGAGCCTGGTTACACCACTGACGAAACTAATTTATATTTCGCAGTTTGTTTTGACTGAACTGTAGTGCTGTTTTAAGGCTGAGGCCAGGTTGTCACTGTGTTGGTAAAGAAGCTTCAGCACAGTGACTGAGACCTAGCTAGCTACACACTTTTCATCTGCAGGAAGGCTTTGATAGTGGCTTCTCCACCTGTGACCCTAGTGCTTGGGTACCCATTATCCTGCTCTAAAGCAGAGTTTCTCAGCCCATGGGTTGCAACCCAAAAGTGGGTCACAAGAATATATGAAAGGGTCACAAGCAAACTTTATACATGGATCAACAAACTTTAAAAATGGATTCTTTTTTAAAGGAGAAAAATGTGGGAAACCATGGCTTTTCCCTTGCAGACTGCCAAAGTTCCAGCATGCAAGGGGCTGCTTGGGGGGAGGGGGGCCCTCTCCCCACATACTGGAAGGCAGGGGGCAGAGGGTCAGGAGCGAGGGGCACTGGTTAGGGACTGGCCATCAGTGTTTACAAATGGGTCCTTGTACAAAAAAACGTTGAGAACCACTGCTCCAAAGGAACAAGAAGCACGTGTTCCTTGATAATAAAGTTGTTTGTACAATATCATAAACCCTTCATTAAAAAAAAAAAAAAATCCAGGAAGCCACAATTCTTGAGCCTCCTAAAATTTTTGTCTTTGAAAACGTGAATATAATATTATTTTGGTTTTCATATTGTGTATAATTACTCGTCAGAATTCTTTCTTACATGTGGCTTTTCCCAAGCCATGCACCTGGAGACATTTCCTGGGATCCATTGGTTGCTGACAGAGAATAAGCAAGTTGTAGTTTAAAAAAAAAAAAAAAAAAAAAGAATCCCTCTACAGGGAGATTCTTTGAGAATCTCCAAACAAATAGCCATGTCAGGATTACAGGAAGGGGATCTTCTGGTCAAATACCAGAACGATGTTCTTTCTTCTCTGTAAGAAGGAAAAAGGCTTTATGAAGCAGCCATGACTAGGTGTTCTTTGCATCTGCATTACCCACAAAAGTGAGATATGCACAAGGCAGTGTTAACTGTTTCCTGGCTGCAGCAGTGGTCCAGGCTCCCCCACTGAAAGCTGATTAGAGAAGGTTTGTATGAATGGCCGAAATCTAGAAGCTGGACTGCAGTTAAAACACTGCAGTGTTATCTAGTAAAGATTTTTCTCAAAATGCAAGAATTTAAAATAGGAAATGGTATACAGGGGAAATAGGGCTTGCATTTTTAAGTATAAAGGGATATGAAATGGAGTTGAAGTGCAACTTAAACTGATGGAAAGTTGCATTACTTCACAAAATGTATAACAAATCTGAAGTAACGAGTGCCATGACACGTTAATTTAACCCAGTGAGCCTAAGATGCTGAAAAGAATTTCTTAAGTTCTATGGCTGTTACCGATAAGATAAAAATGGTCAGGACTAGAAACACTGATATTTCACATTGGTTTATTCCAAGAACTAAACTTTCTGGAGCAAGGAATGAACTTTGTCAGTGGGCATGTTTTTCAGTAGTTCACAACAAACTCTTAACACCTGGTACTATCTGTTTATGGGGACAGTATGCTGGCTGAGCTGGGTGGCTATTGCATATGGCAATTCTGCTAGGTGAAGGGTTGACAGAATCTTGCTGCGTGTACCTAAGAGAGGATTTTCATTTTCAGTCTGCAGTGTCAAGACAGTTGCATAAAATTTGCTGTTGTCAGTATTGGGCTGGGTTTTAAGTTCGCTGCTTGAAAAGGCACAATTGTTGAAACGCTGTGTATTGCTAAATGCTAGTTTTAAAGCCAACTAAATATCTTTGTTTATCACATTCAGGTACTTCAGGTGCTATCATAAAATTAAGTACAAACCACTTCCGGTTGACCTCTCGTCCACAGTGGGCTTTATATCAGTACCATATTAACTACAATCCTCAGATGGAAGCACGACGTCTCCGCTCAGCTTTACTGTTTCAGCATGAAGAACTAATTGGAAGAACACGTGTGTTTGATGGAACAACGTTATTCTTACCAAAAAAATTAGAAAACAAGGTGTGAAATGAGAAATGATGTTAGATTCTGTTTTGAGTTCAATTCTTTCTTTACCTTTTATGACCTTTTTTGTCTGGTGAGACTGTTAAAGTATGAATAGAATGGGTGTGTCTGCAACATTTTAAATGGGTTGAGTTTTCCAGTCAGTTTTTGCTAACTTGCAGTATAATAGCTTGGCGAATGAATAAAATTCAAATTCTTCAGGTTAAAATAATTTTTCCTGCAAAAATGACGGTAGTGAAATTACAAGAAGCTGTATGGATGAGGAAACTGGTTTTCCTTAGATTTTTAACTTGGTGTCTGACGATTGAAACAGTGGGTTGCTTTATTAAACGGATGTTGTAGATAACGCCCTGTGGTAGGTACGGTTGTGCTAATCTTCTGCCAGAGCAAGATGGGTGGGGAAGAGCAAAATTAGATGTGTGGGAGGAAATGAATCAGGATGAGTATTTTGCCATATCAAACTTTAGTCATAGCAGGCTAATTACAACTGCCTCTTGTCTGAGTTTGGACTTCCTGCACAGTTGTATTACTATCTTGAGCCTGTCAAAATAGTTTGGGGTAAAGCATTGAAATTAATATAAGATCAGCAAAACATCTTAAACTGGTTTGAAAATACCAGCCTTCGCATATGTTTACATAACACAATTTAACTTACTGTCCCTTCAGGTTACTGAGGTGTTTAGTCAGACCAGGAATGGAGAGACCGTGAAGATTACTATCACTTTAACCAGTGAGCTGCCACCTACTTCACCTACCTGCCTACAGTTTTACAACATTATTTTCAGGAGGTTTGTTTTCTGTATATGGTGCTTGTAACTGTTCTATAAAAAAGTAGAAAAATCTGACACAAGTCTTCCTCTTCCACAAGATCAATTGCTTGTCTTTATGGTGTGTTTATTAAATTTGCTATATAGTTTTATGGCAGCTGAAGGAAAATACTTAACAAGATCCATACTGGGCACCTGGTCATAGTCAGCTACAGTTCAGTGTGCAGTTGGATACATCTGTCATGAGCATACCGCTTTGAAAACACACTGTTGTCTCTAGCAAGAATATGTTGCCTCAGATTTTCTTATCTTATGGGTACCATTAAATACTCTTTGATTTGGTACTGTTTTTGTCATGAAGGCACAAGAAGCAATGCAGAAACAAACTGGCATGCTGATTTCTGTGGCACAGATTTTCTGCTTGCCTTGGTGACTTAGTCTTTTGGTTTCATCCAAAGTGAGACCTGTTGAAGCCGTTGCCAATAAGCACATGGTTTAGCTTACAAACTGAAGGTGACTTGTGGCCTGAAAAGAACTGAATGAATAAGTGCCATGTCATCTGTTCAGAATTTTGCTTGAAGTTAGATTGAAACCAAATTAGCTTTTAGCTAACTGTAACAAAAGCAAGGTATGTAACTTTTTCAGGTTGGAGAAGCTTGGAAGTTTTCAGGGTTCATGTCAGCTTTCTAACAGCTAAGTAAGTCTCTTCCCTTGACTTGTTCTGCTTACAAAAGTGAATCACTTCATGTTAGATTCTAATATATATAATATACATGTGGATAGTGTAGCTGTTTTGAGGAACTAAACAGTACTGTTATTTGTCACTCACTTTAGTCTCTTTATTTTCTTTTTAGGCTTTTGAAGATGATGAACTTGCAGCAAATTGGACGTAATTATTACAACCCAAATGACCCAATCAGCATCCCTAATCACAGGTTTGGAAAATGGACTCCTGTTTTTGCAAAGGAGAAATGATTTTTTGATACGATGACAAATTTATCTCATATCAAAACAAAGTCTAAATTGCTCTTTAAAAGGATGAGATTTTTGTATGTCCCTAACTTGTGGCTCTGTCTTTGTGTAGAGTAGTAATGAAAAACTGAGCTAATCTAAATTGGGTATTATGAATTCTGTTGAAGGAGTAGAGGTAAGCAGAGGAAGACCCTTGTCCAAAGATTTCTAAAACTTATTTTCAACTGAAATGGAGTGCTTTTAGTAGTTGCTTAAAGGCATCTAAATAAACAGTGAAAGGCTGCCAACATGCAACTGTACTTTCATTCTGCATGTGCACACAAGCACACTCAATGGTCTGATACTTCTTAAAGGATTTGTTTCAGATTAGTGGATGAGTTTGTAGTCTTGGTTAAACATTAAGGCAATTTTCTGTTTTGCTTATATTGCTGCATCACTAAATTAGTCGTACTGTGCCTCAAGTTGATTATAGGTACCTGCATGAAAACATTTAAAGATGACTAAAGCATTGGAAGCTGAAGGAATATGGAGTATTTGTGGCATAATAAGTTTATGGTTTCCCAGTTGCTGGGGGAGGTGAAAGGAAGAACAGTAAATGAAGAACAATGATGTTTTAAAGGTATACTTAGGTGTTTGTGTTCTCTTCTGACAGGGTAATCATCTGGCCGGGTTTCACTACTTCTATTCTTCAGTATGAGACGAGCATCATGTTATGTACAGATGTGAGCCATAAGGTTCTCCGGAGTGAAACTGTGTTGGATTTCATGTACAATCTGTATGGTCAGGTTGAAGAACAAAGATTTAGAGATATCTGTGCTAAAGAACTCATAGGTCTAATTGTTCTTACAAAGTAAGCTACTTTTTTTTTTTCCAAGTGTAAATGATAATATTAAACTGTGACCCGTGTTACTATTTGAAGGAGCAGACTTCAAAAGGTATTTGGGTGTGTAAGTATCTTGGAAAATCTGGATCTAAATTCCAAGAATTTATGCTGCAATGGGTGCTATTTCACTTTTTCTGAATACAGGAAGCTTACAAAGTAGGCAGTAACAATTGAACTCTGACTTGGGCTTGGAAGTTTTCAGGGTTCATGTCAGCTTTCTGGCAGCTAAGCAAGTCTCTTTCCTTGACTTCTGCTTATGAAACTGAATCACTTCATGTTAGATAAATTATATATTATATATATATTATAATTCACTTGTAGCTCAAACAGGTGATTTAAGACTTTCTCTTATTTACATGAAAAGAAACCATCCTTACTATATTAGCTAAACTTTTTTTTTAACACTTCAGAGCCCAAGAATGGATGTAGACTTCCTGATGGATTTACTACCAATCCAAACTATTGGAATTTAACTTCCATCTAGATACTGTTTTATATATAAATAATTTCCTTATACTTTCCTTAATGATTTAGGATTCTTCTAGGCCTTAGTGTGACAAAAGGCCTAGTACTGAATTTGGTGTTGTAATAGATAGTCCTGTAGGCTGCTGCTGCTCCTATGCCTCCTTTTCTCTGTAATAACTATTTTTGTGCTGGGACATACATATTTTGAGGTGCACAACAAAGTGTGAAAGCAAAAAATCTATAATCTGGGTATGCTAAGGGTTAGACCAAAGTGATAGTACAAACTGAAATAAACTGAGTGGATATAGACCCTTTTTCTTTTTATGTATTTTAAAATGAATTATATATACATGCTAATACAACAAGTGAATCTAAAACCAGCCATTATAGCTTGAATGTGGACGTTGTTTCAGTCAGCATAAATAAAAATCTCAACTGTTTGAGATTATTTCATGCTTTTCTTTAACTTTCTGCATTTCCTGCTGTCCTAATATTTCATGCACCCATAAACAAAGCATGAGAACTAGCCAATTGCCCATCAGGAATGATGGGGGTGAGGACAGAGCACCACTACCCACCACCCTGCGCCACTGCAGTTTCCCAGGGGGGGAGGGAGGGGGCAGGAAAAGCTTGCCCTGCCTTACCCTCCATCCTGTTTGGCCAGCACCCCATGCCACCACCATCTTTCAGGGAGCAGGGGGGTGAGCCTGCTCAATCCTCTCTGTCCTCACTGTCATGGTAGTGCTCTGCCACGCCACACTGCAGTGCCACCTGCTGTCCAGAATGCTCTTGTAGCACTCTGGTTGTTTCAGAGAACCAATCAGAGTGCAAATAAAGTGTTATGGACGGACGGACAGACTAAGGCTTTTATAATATTAGAATATGTAAGATAGGGTTTTTAAAAATGTCATCCTTTTTTAGATACAACAACAAAACTTACAGAGTTGATGACATTGACTGGGATGCCAATCCAAGATGCACCTTTAAGAAAGCAGATGGATCTGAAATCAGCTATGTAGACTACTACAGAATGGTATGACATAACTAAAAATTCCAAAAATATCTGTTTTATGCTTTATACTAGACTCTGAAACAAGTACTTTATAAACAAGTAGCACTTGAATATTCAGGAAACAATATATAGTTTCTACTCTGGAGAGAGAATTTGATTTATAGCCATCTTTTAGAGGATGCTGAAGTCTCAAAGACTGATTTTTTTTTTTTTTTTTTTTATGCTAGTATTTCTAGTAGTATCCTAAATGTACATTTCAAGGTCCTTATTAATAATTTCAGCAAAATGTATCTAGGACACTTTGTATCTTTCTCTTGGCTTAATAAATGGATGCTGCTGGATATGCTACCCCCCACCCTTTGATCCAACATTTATAAACTTTTTTTATGTCCCTTCTTCCTTGTCCTCCCCCCCCCCCAAAGAAAAAAATATCTAGGAAAGAAAACAGTGACCGTGTCAATACCAATAGTGCTGTCAAATGCCTGGTGTAGGGGTTGCAGATAAGTGGTAATGCCCCTAGTCGCAGTGTGTGAATAAAAAAAAAAAAATGAAAACAAGTCACTATTGTACTTACTCAAAGCACAAACTTTATAGGAGTAATGCTGGATGCAACAACAGCCCACCAGTCATGTTGTAGGTTTCCTTCTAGATTGAAACGTACCAATCAACTTGCCCAAAACATCAGTGAGAACATGTCTCAACTTGCTGGGGCCTATTACACGTATATGATGCAGTTTGTTAGATTCTCTGCCTTCCATGGAAGGGTGGTGGCATTAGTATATTGGTCCTATGGACACCACAAATTTGTTGGCCAGTTGTTTGGTTTAAAACTATGGAAGGACTCTGTACATGTGCAGTGGACATTTCTTGCCACACCAGCCTACCAGTGTGCTAATGATTGTTTTTACATGCAAAGGGAGGTCATTGTATGAGACTTACCTTCTCTTTTAGTGAAGGAATCTTGCGTTACACCTGCCCTTGACCATCAAGGGAACTGTAGAGATATGCTGACAGCGTTAGTCAAAAGAATTCATACACATGGGGAAACTTGCATCCCAGAATGAAATACACTTGAAGAGTATATATTTATAAACTACTTGGTGTAAGAGCAATTTTTTCTGTTGAGGGTAGAAAAAGCAATATGGTTTTGTCATTAACCAGTGTTATTGACTCTTGAGTAAATAAACAGCATTTTGCTCATCCTACTGGAAGGCTTAAAAATGCATAATATTAATCTTGCATTTTCTGCTGATGGCTTCTTCCTGATCTTAGATTGGGTAAAAACACTTGATACCTAGGTAACAAGCTCTTTTCCATTCATGGGGAACTTAAGTACTAAGCATGATTACTAACTGCTTGCATAAGATAGGCCTTCCAGTTATAAATTAGGTTTAATGGTTGATGAGGGGATAAACAAATGCTTGGAGAGCAAAGGGGAAGAAAGCGTGGAAGAAATTCATGCTGAACTGCCAGTTTTATTTTTTATGCTGTTATGCTAAAGTGCACTGTGCGGTTGTTTTTTTTTTTTAATGCAGCAATATAACCAAGAAATCACTGACTTGAACCAGCCAGTTTTGGTCAGTCAGACAAAGAGGAAGAGGGGGCCAGGAGGTGTAATGCCAGGGCCTGCAGTACTTATTCCTGAGCTGTGCTACCTTACAGGTATTGTATCTGTAGTTATTCACACAAAAACATTTACTATGTATGTTGTATACTTTAGAATGATCGCAACGATCATTTCTGACAGATTTTACTAACTGGGAATACTTGCTTGTATAAACAAGTTTGGAAAGGGTACCTGCAAGTGTTATAACTAGAAGTGTACACACACGAAAATTTAGCTAAAAATGTGTAATAGTTTAAAAAAAAAAAAGATTTCCCCCTTTTGATTACTCCTTTCCCTCCTAAATGTTTCGCCCCATCCCTTCTTTCAGTATTTCCTGGAAGGGAGCTTGTATTTCTTGTTTTCCTTCCTCACTGAAAGAAGAGAGAGCTCAGGTTTTCCTTATCACTGCAGCAGGAGCCATAATGGCCTCATAGATGAGACTAACTAGTTTGGCACAGACCACGAGAGGGTGTCCACTAGTTGTGTGCAGCTGTCTGCTTAAAGATCTTGAGAGCTGGACACTCTTATTACTTCTGAAACCCCCACAGTTGGAGTGTGGTGAAGTAGAACAGAGTTGAAAATACAGGCTAATGACACTACAGGCCACAAAAAAGCTTGCTTTCTTTTTCCTAGTCCCTCTGATAAGAGCCTAAGAATAATGGCAGGGCCTAGAAAAACCTAATTACCAGTCTACTTAAAAACACCCTTGTGGCTAAGGCTAAAAGGTCTGTAGACTATGAGGACTGCAGGAACTACTTAAGCCACAAAGGTGGTACTGGAACTGAGAAGTGACAGTCATGTACCAGCCTTGTATGTCTGTGCAGAACATGAAGAAGAGCTCAGTGTGGCTTTTATGGTATAGGGACTGCCAAGCCAAAAAGCTGTTGAGCTTGAGTGTAAAACCCATGTGCACTCCACTGTACAATATGGATAAGCAAAGGGGAAAAGTTACCAATGTCCGCTGTACTGTACAGCTGTACCAGAACCGGCACAATGTTTCATAGTCTGGTACAATAGGCAACGTTGTCAAAAAAAAATCTTACAACTAATAGCTATTCCCTGACTGTTTCAATGGTTCTATGTTCAGAATAAAATGAAATCCAAAGCCACCACTTGGCAAATTCATTTTTGTAAAAATGTATCTTTCAGTAAAAAAAAAAAAAAATTGCTGTTTGCAGGGTTAACTGATAAGATGCGTAGTGATTTTAATGTGATGAAAGACTTGTCTCTTCATACAAGACTGACGCCGGAGAGAAGAGAGCGTGAAGTTGGAAGACTTATTGACTACATTCAACAGTATGTTATTTAGAACTTGTACTACTTTTCAACAAATGGTTTTTATTCATGTTTTTTGGAACCACTGGATGTTCTTAAATTGCTGCCTTTTGTTGTTCTGCCTTAATTTGTTTTTCTCAAATGCAATCTACATCTAAGTCAGAATCCATACACTTTGGGTGATGATGCGATTGATTTTTAACTGTTATTGCTTGCTTTTAAATTTACACAGGGATGACAGCGTTCAGAAGGAACTTCGTGACTGGGGTTTAAGCTTTGATTCCCGTTTACTATCTTTTACTGGAAGAATAATTCAAGCTGAAAAGATCCATCAATCAGGGAGAGTGGTAAGTGGATAATTTTAATTCGTCTCTGAACGTTTGAACAAAACAAGATACTTATTGGTTGGGGTACTTATTAACTAGATTTTTTTTTTCTTTTTTTAAACTGACAGTTCAACACAATCACTTGTCTGAGAGTATTGTTTTTTACACAGTATTTTTGAAAAATCCCATTAAAAACTTACAGAACATTTTCCCTGGCCGCCTGTTCCATAAAAGTAAATGCCTTGGCAAGGGAGAAACTGAGCCAACTGGAAAAATAATTCTCAAGTAATTTTACAGGTTGTTGTAACTAATTGATACCCTTTTCATCTGGCAACTGTTCCAAATTATTCCACTTTAGTGGATAGGAATTACCACTGTAATTGTCTTTGAACCTCCAAGAAGAATACTGCCCATGTTGGGTTCTGCAGCAATTATTACTCAACCTTCTTGGACTTTTCATGTGTCCTGTTCTATATCATTTGCTTTAATTCATAACGCATTTGTTCTAAGTTACTTTTATTTCTCATTTATAATACCACTGCAGATGCTTAATTGCTTGTTTTTTTCCAACGCTGATGCTTGTTCCTGGAGATCACTTGGAGCCTGTTAACTTCCACTGAGACTACCCACATGCCCATAATTAAACAGATGCTTACATGCTTTGAAGGAAAGCAATTGAGGGTACCTCCAAAAGCTGTTCGTTATATGGCAAGGAGGACTGTAATACGGTTTTACTAAGTTCATTTTTAGTTGGATCAGTTCTTGCCCAAATCAGAAATCTAAATAAACAAATGCAATTTTTAGGTATAGAATTTAATACGTTAAGGAATAACACACCAGTAATATCTGAAATATTTTCAAACACACAAAATGTAGATTATGAACAAAAAATCACGTCACCTGTTAAAATATACATTCTTCACCAGTAAATGCATGTCATTGCTGTTGGAAGTATACAAAGGAAACCAGATGGGCTATGTATAGGTTGACTTTTGAAGAAAACCCAGGCCTTTTAAATACCTCCAGTGTTTTTATCTGAAGACTCCAATATTATGGTATTGAAGGCTTTTAAACTAAATGCTGAACCAAAAAAGGTTTTCAAGGTTCCAGTTTCTTGGTTCTGTTTGTATTAATTCATATTAATTAATATTAATTCTATTAATTAATAGGAGTACTGTATACTTGCTGGAAAAAGGACCTGGTTTCCAGTGTGGGTAGCTTTTCACAGAAACAATAATATCCTGTATTGATGGGTCTTGTGAGAAAAGAGGAATAGTTTCCCCCTGCCCCTTCTGTTCTTCAACATGACCAGCCATGAGTCTTAGATCTAGCCAAAACCCCCTGGCTTGCATTAAACTGTTGGACTTGCAGGAGGCTAATTGGTGGGCTAGGCTACGTAATCCCATTACCTACTGAGGGACCTTCTGCTAGTGCCCATTCCATTCTGCTAGTGCCTTTTTCTTCTCCACCCATTCAAAAGAGGTATGGTTGGAAACTCCAGAAAGTTGTTTGTCTCTTGACTTCCAACGAGTACCTCTATTTTAAAAAAAAAAAAAGTTTTTTGGAAGCTAAATACCTGCTGGTTGTAAAAAGATAAATGATTTTTAATTTTTTATTTTGTTTTTAGTTGTAGAGTATGTATACCAGAAAATGTTCTTATGACTTACTAAAAATGTTCAGGTTCTACTTTCTAATATCAGTCTCATCAGACACAAATTGGAATACCATGGAAAGATTGACTTGTAAAACAGAATATGGTTTTTATTCTCATTGGTAAGCTGTTGAAACTAAATACTTGAACATTGTAGCAGAGCTGTTAAACTAAAATATAATGCAGCTTGTAGCAAGAATAATGCTGCAGAACTCAAATAACATTTTTTTTAAATGACAAGATGAGTAAAGATGGCATAAACTGATTTGGAGGAAAAAATCCTTTCCCATCTAAAGCTACTGCGGCAAGGGCAGGTGATGCTGCTGCGGTCTGGAATGCCTGGAGAAGCAGAATTTGTGGCTGGAATTACACTGTAGATAACATGCTTGCTTTTATTTGTTTGCAGTTTGAATACAACCCTCAATTTGCAGACTGGTCAAAAGAAACTAGAGGAGCCCCCTTAATAAGTGTAAAGCCACTGGACAACTGGTTACTAGTGTATACACGGCGCAACTATGATGCAGCCAATGCACTTGTTCAGAATCTTTTCAAAGTCACTCCATCCATGGGCATACAAATGAACAAAGCAATCATGTAAGTGTTTTTAGAAATTTGCTAGTTATCTTGCTTAGAAATTCTTTTGTAGTGGCTTAGTTAAATGTCCAAGTCAGGGGTCAGCAACATTTTTGGGCTGAGTGCCAAAAACATCCGCAACCTCAACTTAAAAGATGTTGGTGTGCTGGGGCGGACAGCAGGGGAGCCACAAGGGGCCTGATCCTTGTTGTGGCGGCGCAGCCACTGCCCTTTCCCCGTGGCACGCGTGTCAAGCAAAATGCCTTTGCGTGGCATGCGTGTTGGGGATTGCTCACCGCTGGTATGAGTACATGTGCTGAAAGGGAGGAGATAATACTGTAAGTAGGACAAAGGTACTGAAAATCCAAACACTTCAGATTTTGGAGTCAGCGTGTTAATCTGTGGAAGTTTAAGTGGGATTAGAGAAGGGGCTTCACAGGAAGGGTCTAGCTGGGTGCCAAAAGCCTCTCGATTCTATGATGCGGGTTGGAGCACCTCCTGTACGAGGGTGAAGCAAGAACATGCATTGTCATTTTCCCTTCCTGATATGTAGCCAGTCACTCTTGCAAACTTCGTAATCTTTCCTTGCTTGTTGTTGGAAGGTTGTAGATCAGGTTTGTTTCTTTTTATGTCTAGATACCTTGACCACTTTCGTTCAGTGCCAATGCAGAATATTTTAACAGAATCATAGGTGTGAAAATGTATGTAAAATTTATCTTGATGGAAGAGTATCTTATGGTGCTGCTGATCTTTTGTAGCTATTATGATTTTGAGTTCTAGCAGCATTTATTTATTTTCTTGTTTTATGTCCCTTTTTTAGGATTGAAGTAGAAGATAGAACAGAAGCTTATTTGAGGGCTTTGAAACAAAAAGTTACTTCTGACACGCAGATAGTATGTATACTGGTCCATAATTTCAGAGCATGTCAACTAATACTTTTGTCCTTATTATTATTATTTTTATTATTATTATTAATCTATTGAGAATCTGGTGATACTTGGGAGGTCAGGCAATTAGAAAGTTTTTAATGCTAAAATATGGGATTGTTTTATATCCTTTTTCCTTGAAAATCAAATAGGTTTGGTCTTAAAGCATCAAAACTTGAAGACTCAAGCTGTCTAAGTTGCTGGAGGGAGGGTATAGCAGGGAGCTGTAATGATATATAACAAGTCTTTCCAATAAATCCAGTTCTCCTGGAATTTGGTTTTGAAAACCTCTTGTTTAAATTTTTTTAAAGGTAGTTTGCCTTTTGTCCAGTAATCGCAAAGATAAGTATGATGCTATCAAGAAGTACTTGTGCACGGATTGTCCCACTCCAAGTCAATGTGTGATAGCTCGCACATTAAGCAAGCCACAGACTATAATGGCCATAGCAACAAAAATTGCATTACAAATGAACTGCAAGATGGGTGGAGAGCTTTGGAGTGTTGAAATTCCAGTAAGTAACAGGCTTCTTCTATTAAACCTAAGTAAATTGAGTCTTACTTAACTTTTCTCATAGCTAAAATATTAAAGCTTTCACACCTTTATTAGAACAGTGTTTAAACATTTTTTAAAAAGTATTTTGAAAAGCACCAATGGTTTTTCCCCATTGGTTGGCATCTTACCCACTATGTCCTGGGTCAAAAAAACCCCCAACTGTATTTTTCCTGCGTGGATAGATGGCAAAATAGCTGACAACACTTTGTGGGGAAATAAAAGTTAGAGATAATTGCATAAATTAAGAATTTAGTGCAGTTAGACAGTAAGTAGTTTCGCCTCTATGGCTGGTTCTATAATAAAACCCTGGTTTGCTTTAGTTTAACTATGGGTGTTTACACCAACTATGGGGCTTTTTTTAATTTAATTGAAGTGCCCAGAGCATCTCGTGTATCAGCGTCCTTGCACTTCAAAATGGCAACGGGGTGCTTTATCTAAAGCTCATCAAACCATCTTTAGAAAAGTCCCCCTGCCAACACGTTGAAGCACAGGAACACTGTGGTGCACGAAACGCAGAGCTAGAGCGTGGTAATTATCACGCTCCCACAGACTCGATTTAATCGAGTCGATTAATCAAGTCTGCTCTGATGCACTGTAATTGCAGTATGAAGATATCAGAGGTGATCTTAGCATGTTTTTCATTTTCTTTTTAAGCTGAAACAACTCATGATTGTGGGGATTGACTGTTACCATGATAATACAGCTGGGCGGAGGTCAGTTGCAGGATTTGTTGCTAGCCTGAATCAGGGAATGACACGGTAAGCTATTTCCTGTTTCTAAAGACAAATTGACCAGAATTACAATAGATATCAGTTATGGGCAGTCCGTTTTAAAATATTCCTATCTAAATTAGTCCAAACTGCATATTAAAGATTCTTAATGAAGAAATTGAGTCAGCTAATTAAGGAACAGTACATTGTTCTTCAAGCTTAAGACGATGCACTGATTGAACAAGGGCTGCCAAAAATTCCTTGTGAAGTAGTGTGTAAAGAGAGTCCTTTATAAAAGAAGATGCACTGCTGTGCTGAGTGTAGTGCAGGGACATGTGTGCTTTGTTTATTACTGCATATTACTTTTTTTTTTCCTGCTTGTAAATAATGTACATTTTGCTACTTGATTTTGCGTGTTGAATGACAGGTGAATTGAGCCTTCCTTTGCTGCTTGCATATAACAGTGAGGAGCTAAGAAAGCAACAATATTTAGAGATGTGAAATGGGAAAGTTTCCAAAACACGTGTTGGAAACTAAAATGAATAGCTGTCCACTGAGAATCTTTTTCAGATCATCACTATTGTTTGGAGAGTAAGAGGAAGTGAATGTATTCCTTGGTGCCTTCTATGCCTTGCTGAGGAGATGAGGGAGATTCATTTCACCCTTCCATCCTGTTTCTCTGTTCCTCTCAACTGCTTCCACTGAAGACTGAGCTCTTTTTGATGACTTGTCCCCATAGCAGGCTACAGACCTTCACAGATGTCCTGACTTTCAATTTCAGGCTTCTTCATAAAAAAGTTCAAGCAAGAACATATGCTCAGTCTCCTGTCTCTATTTTGGGTTCAGTGTTCTGATAATATTCTTCAGCCTTCCTCCGTGGAAAGCTGAAGGCATGCCAATGTGCTTAACAGTAACGATAGTTTCTAGATGGTCTCCTAGGAGTAGGGCTTGCCAGGGGCTATTTTGATATGGGAAGGAAAGGCTAATATAACTACCGTCATTGTTTTACCTCTGCTTCCTTAACTAACTAAAATGTCTAAACCCCTGATTCTCTGCTAAGGTGATATAAAATCCTTTTTAAGCATGCCACGCAATATTATCCCCGTTAGGTATGCAAACATACTAACTTATTGTAGTTTTTCCTAGTTCTTCGCAATAGAAGAACTTCTGTCTTATTTTTCCACAGTCAAAAAATGAGTGAAAACTAAGAGCGGGCATTTTCTGGGGTATGGCATGAGTCTAAGGAGAGGTGCCTTGAGTCTAAAATGGTTGAGAACTACCATTCCAAACAGAGGAGATCAAGCCATGGCCCCTTTACATAACATAACCTCTTTCCAGATTTCAAGATCTGCAAGAGGAGATCTTGTGGTGCCAAGGTATTTGTCTTCATAGGTTGGTTGGCAAAGTCAAAGACAGTTTACTTTTTTTTCCATGGTTACCTTCTAGAACAGTGATTCCCAACCTCTTTTTTTTTTTTCCATGCCCCGCTCCTGGGAGCGGAGTGCAGCAGCAGCCTCGGGGTGGAGGAGCTCCCAGCATGCAGCGTGGCTCATCTTTTCTGTGCAGCACTGCCAGCATTGCCCCTGTGACCCTCATTTGGGTCGTGACCTGGGAACCACTGTTCTAGAAGGCATAGGAGAGAGCAGTTGTTCAGTAAGCATTATAGAAACCTCATGCCTGTAGTTGTCACCTGCCATCCCATGCTTGAACCAGGAAAAAGGATCATCAAGCAGTTACAGCCTATACGTGAGAAGGACCAGACCTTGAAAGAATATCCACAGCTTTCCTTCTCCACCCACCCCCCCAACCCCTGCTTTTAGCTTTCAGACTTCTACCTTAAACTTGTCCAGCTCATCAATAGCAAACTCCAAGCTGATCAGCAGGTACCAAATGTTTTACGACTGTGCTTTTAACAAAAAAGTATAAAATCTGTTAAGAAATCTCTACTGCCACAGCAATCAACAATCCCCACATTAAAACCATCGGAATCCACGGATCCTACACGTCTGTCCTAGAATGTAGTATACCTCATCCAATGCACTAGATGACCTCATGGAAGCTATGGGTGAAACTAGACAAAAACGATTTATTCCTTTAGACCGGGGGGTATTGCTTTTGTCATGAAGACCAGCTGAGGGGCTCCCAAGGAAGTAAAGCCAGACAGCAAGGCTGCAAGCTCTCAAGCCCACTTAACAACTACTGTTTGGACAGCCTAAAGGACTTCTAAGGGAGCAAAACCCACCTGGCACAGCAGCAGGCTTTCCAACCTGCTTATATAACCTTTACGTCTTTTGACAAATCAGGCATTCTTTTATATTAAATAGAATTTTTCTTTTCCCGGTCCCCAAACAGGTGGTTTTCACGCTGTATCTTACAAGATCGTGGGCAAGAACTTGTGGATGAGCTCAAGGTCTGTTTACAAGGTAAAAGCTCCTTCTATCTTAATGGCCACTGGGTGGCAGTTGTCCATTGTCAGAACAGTTCTTGAAAAGAAAAAAAATGCCATATTTAACTTGGTGAAAAAATGGATTGCTTGTTTCAGCTGTAAGCGTTAGTGATAACTAGCTTGTTTGCCTGTTCTCCTGCTACTTGGTTCTAACTGCTACCTTGTTGGTCAGCTTTGTATGCCCATTGTAAAATACATATTTTTAGAGTTACATGTTTAAAAGAAAAATACTAAAGCTGTTACTCTGAGGTGAAGAAATCTCTAATATATTTTTTAGCAAGCTCAAAAATGAGGAAACTTTTCTGATGGTGGAGGGGGAGATGTAAAGATGAGACAGAGACACTTTTGTAAAGGTTTTAAATATCAAATGAAGTTCTTTTCCAGTTAAGTATTACACTATCTATTGGCGGTGCTAGCATAAGTCTCAACATTACTGAAAATTGGATCATTTGGTGAGAATCAGGTTTCTGAATGGTGTATTTTTTGGAAGTAAAACAATTACCAGGTCACTTCCTTCCTTTTTCACATTGGCTACTATAAACCTGGTTCATAGTGAATGTTTGGCCAAAGGTTTAAAATGGGACAACTCGTTCAAGTTTACTTTACTCCTAAAAATTATAAATACCCTTTTATCCATCTGCTTTTACTTTGTGCAGGTCTCTGTGTAAGTCTATTAATTCTTACTGAATTTCATGCACATTTGAGGTGAACTATGTAGATGATAAAGTGGAACTTGCAGCTGTTGTGGACCATTTGTTTTTTCAAGGAAACGCTGTGTTTGGGTTTTTTATGATGACCTTTTACTACAATTATCATTTAAAATGATTTGGAGTTCAGATATGAATATAAAGATTGTGATTTATACTTCCAAATCTAGCTACAGCAGGGGGATTCTGATGATCATAGTACCATATTTACTCAAATACAAGATGATGTTTTTTCCTGCCAATCAGCATGGAAGGTGTGGGGAGCCCCTTGTTTTACATTCCGACATAGGGAAATCACATTAAATACTCTGTCTATCTTTGAACTGCTGCTAAAAGTATGTGCTCAGTAATGGAAACCAACTATGAAGTTGATTTTAAATGCAGCCAATACTGAGTATGACTGAGTACATGGCCCATATTGTGCAAATGTGCATGGAATCTTTATTTTTACCCTTAAAAAAATGAACAAGTGGGTGTTTTCTGCACAGGGAACTAGCACGGGGCCTGGAGGTACTGCAATACCAGGTTGGCACTGGGAGGGCCAGAACCAGCCCTGACATCCTCCCCTTGTTGCCAGAAATGCTTGATCTTAGCCAAAAGGCTGAGATGCTGGTGAGAACCTGCCACAAGGATGGGGTAGTGCAACTCTTCTGAATGTTATATGGTAGTGTCCATGAAACACCTGTGCTAAAACTTGCAGCAGTTTCAAAAAGGGTAACCTAAATCAGTCCTGGATGAATTAAGTCTGAGTACTATACGCAAATTACTAGAGCTATATTTAATTTCAAGGTCAGCGTTTTCTACTTTGCTCCTAACTTCCATGTACTCGGGGGAAAGTAGGGTTTGATAATATGGGGGTGTAGAGGGGCTGCAGGGGGGAAAAAGTTCGGCAGGCAGAAAGCAAGGGGGAAATCTGCCCCCACTTCCACCTTCCCCCTCTCCTCTCCCGATCTATTTTCTCTGCTGTAGTTCTGGGCAGGGGCCACATTCAAGAAAGATTTACAATAATTAAATTCTATACCAGGAAAACTTGTAACAGATTTTTTTCAAATTTCCATATATAGAATCTAATTATTGGGGGTTTGTCTAATAATCAGGGTCATCTTATATTCAAGTAAAAATGGTAATAACACAATGATCTACAGGTAAACAAGACTATTATTGGCATCGTTCATACTAGTATCTACCTCAGATAGCTGCTAAGTTGCTGTCAACCTTGTCTGGAATCAAAACAGTGACATGGTGAAAAATTTTCTTAGCTGTTTTTGAGTAACACAGACCAATTCTGAACTTTTACCTCTGAAGGACACAAAGATTGATCAGCTTCTTAATTTGTTTTTCTTAAAGCTGCTTTAAGAGCCTGGTTCAACTGCAATCAACATATGCCTTCTCGCATTATTGTGTATCGTGATGGGGTAGGAGATGGTCAGCTAAAAACCTTGTTCAGTTATGAAGTTCCTCAGCTTTTGGATTGCTTGAAATCTGTTGGTAAAGACTACAAGTAAGTCTTTTCTGGCTCAATCTGCAGTGCTGTGAGAGGTGGGGTACCTTGTGTGCTGTCCTCGTCCTGAAAGATAAGGAAAAGTTTGCATGTTTCTACTTCTACATGAGTATACAGTTGGATCAGAGAAGGCAGAAGATAGACCTGTGCAAATGGGCCATGGGGAGCGGTGCTAAAACTGTGGGCTGAGACCAGCATGGAAGCCTGAACCTGCCTGCAGCTGTAGCATGCCCCACACCCCACGCACCCAGAGCTCTGACCTGGAAGCTGCCAGCCACATGTGTGCAGCTGTGGATGCAGCTGGCAGCAGAGGGGGCAGGGGCAGGTTGCACTATGGCTGCAGATGGGTTCATGCTTCTGGACAGGTGGCAGCCCTGGCCACCTGGCACCATGCAGCTGCCACTTGCCCACAGGCCAAATCCATTCACTTGGTGGGTGCCCGCCTGTGGGCCAGATTCAATCAGTTGCTTGGCTGGATCTGGCTCACAGACTGTATTTTGCCCACCTTTGCACTAGAGGATCATACTGACCTAACATTTGGATTAAGACTGCTCTCCTGAGCAGCAGATCTCTCTCCCTTTAAAGTAGGTTAAATGTGCTTTGTCCATCCTCTTCAGTACTACCACAGTTCCAGATATTCAAATGGTTGCTAACTGCACTGGCACAAAACAGTCATGCTAAGCAACAGTAGACTAACTAGTAGTTATGGCATTGCTTAATTCTCTTTTAATAAATAAGCAATATATTTGTCTGCATTTTTAGTGTTAGCCAACTCATTTTTCGATTTTGGATGTGCGAAAAATAACAATCGGAAGTGTAAAAAGTGTATGTATATTAGTAGGAAAGCTCCTGTTTCATAGTCTGAAGTACTTACGACTATGCTTGAGCTTATCAATGGAAATAATATATTTGAGCTAAAATACAAAAAGCCATGTACTATAGCTTTCTTAGGTTAGCATAGCAATGAGTAAAGATGCAGTTCACAGAATTAACTATTTGGGGGACTTTTCAGTTTGAAATCCCAGGTGATCTGCTCTTGAATCATCTTTTTCCTAGTCCAAGACTTACAGTGATAGTCGTGAAGAAGCGAGTGAATGCCAGATTCTTTGCCCACGCTGGTGGAAAACTTCAGAATCCACCCCCTGGTACAGTTATTGATGTGGAGGTCACCAGGCCAGAATGGTAAGTAGTATACAGACAGTACTTTCAGTGGGTAACTGCCTATTGGCTGCCAGAAATCACTTCTTTAGTTTGCATCCTGCTATTTAAAAATGGAAATAATCTGATGCTGATTTTGAAGTAAAACATCTGTGCAACTTGTATTCTTTTGCTGTTCCCTTTAAATAGAAAAAGAGCCCCATAAATAAATTGAAACTTTGGCCTACACTGTGACACTTTTTGTGGCATCCTATGAAGCAAATGTCATGGCACTCAATTTGAATACTGCTAAATTACTGGAATTGTTTGAAGGACCATAAACCACGAATAGTGCTCTGTAATGAGTCAAGTTGTTTTGACTAAACTGCCAGAGTAGCCAGGGGCAGTGTTATGCAAATTAACATCTGCCTGGGTGTGGAAGGAAAATAAGTTAGAGTGCCATAAGTTGGAAAGGTACTGTATTCGGAGCACCAGTGAGGATAACTGTGAAGGGTCCTTTTTGGTGAAATGCAGATACAGGGCAGGGGGGGAGTCTTACATTGGCAGAGGATGATATATTTGGATTTATATAGACTAAATCTTAATATGGTTTTCCAATTACAGGTATGATTTCTTCATTGTGAGCCAGGCTGTGAGAAGTGGTAGCGTGTCACCAACTCACTACAATGTAATTTATGATAGTAGTGCATTGAAACCAGATCATATGCAACGTTTAACTTACAAGTTGTGCCACATGTATTATAACTGGCCAGTAAGTATTAATTTTTGCAGTGCATAAGTATTTAAAAAAAAAAAAAAAAACCACCACAAAAAACCCTTCTTCCCATGCAAGGGTTATTATCATCTAACAACATCATGCAAGTAACTTTAAGGTGACAAGCTTTGTGGAGGGGGTGAAAGTGGGAAAAGTGAATGACAGCCTGCAGACTAGCCATGTAGAGCAGTGGTCTGGGCATCATTTACTCTTTAAAGAGTTTATACAGTCAGAAAAATTTGACGTGTATTTTAAGATGATTTTTCCCCAGCTGCCGCTCTTTCTGTTCTTTCTCCTTATACATGATGCTCTTAATAGTGTCAGAAAATACCTGCCACTTTTGAGTGCATTGCCCTAGATTGCTATAGGAAACATAAATATTGCTGGAGTGGCTACCTCAGGCTGGTCTTACTTTTTTGTAGAGTTGCTGCACATAGAGACTTCTTGGAACAAATTCCCCTGCGTTGCATTCTTAAAGTTAACATTTTGGCATGGTTGCAGAAGTAATTAAGGTCAAAGTCAGCCATAGCAGAATAGCCTTCTAAATTGTACTTAAGCATTCATTTAAAGCAGCAGTGAAAGCAGCATTTAGTTGCTGTTTTTGGAGTGTTCATTTTCCTATACTTCAGTATGCACACAAACTGTGTAGCTAAACACAACTTAACCTTTTAAAGAACTTTGAGCTACCTAGAAAATCAGTACCCCTTTATTGACTTCCCCACTGTATAGTCTGGAAATTGCTGCAGAGTGGTATGGCAAAGAAAAATTACTTCACCGTAAGGTAGCTTTGAATGTTGTCATCTTATCTTGCCACCTTCTGTCCTCTTATTATGTAGAGTTTTCTGCTTTAGAATAAACCTGAGGAGCTGGGGAGAAAATCTGAAACATGGGGGAGGGCAGCTCCAACATCCTGAAAGTGGGGAAACTGAGTGCAAATCTGCATACTGATAGGGATAAGAAACTCCTTATGCATTGATAAATGATACTTTTACATAATGTGTCATCTAAGAGTATTAAAGCATAATGATATTCATTCAGCAATGCAAATGAAATACTAAAGTCATATTATTTGAATGTATAAAATGTATAGCCCTGAGAACTCTAGTTACTGACAGTTGCCTTTGATTTTCCTGAAATTTTTAAACTTGCACTAGTGTTCACCTTCTAGCGACTGCAGATTTAGATGACTAGAAAAATAACTTTCATTTTTTTTTTTCTTTAGGGTGTTATCAGAGTACCTGCTCCCTGCCAGTATGCCCATAAACTGGCTTTCCTCGTAGGTCAGAGCATTCACCGAGAACCCAATCTGTCACTGTCAGACCGTTTGTACTACCTGTGAACTACATGTACTAAGTACAGTAGTAACAATGCAGTTGCAACTTCCCCTGGTACCAGTTTCTTTTTAGGAAAGCTATAATTTTTCTACGATTTTGTTGAGAACATGGGAGGCATGTGTGGGGTAAATACATACTACTTTGTATAAGGGGAGAGCTTTATTTTCATTATAAAGTAACTGATAACTTAAGGCAATTTTGTCCAGTAAGTTTAAACTGCCTATATAGCTCTACAAAGCAGAAATGAGTCTCTTGCTGCCCGCTGAAAAGCATTTTAAGGTGTAGAGCAAAACAAACCTCTCCAGTTTCTACACTAAACAAGTTCCTAAAACTAGACATAAGGGACACTTTTACATGTGCCCTGGGGCTGGATGAGGGGGGAGGCAGGGCAGTGCTTCAATTAGAGCAGCTCAGAGAGCTGCTCTAATTAAAGCACTGCTGTCTTCTGCATCACCATCCCAACACTTAAAAATGGTGGTGGGGGCACTTGAACCAAAGCTTGTTTGAGCTTTGGTTCAAGTGCCCCCGCCACCACTTTTAGGCACAGGAGCGCTGATACACGAGACGCAGGAGGGTGCTGGAATTCCAGTGCATTAGAGCAGCTCCGCTGCTTGTGTACAGGCGCCCAGGCATATTAGCTAGTCTTTCTGTGTTGAAATTGGGGCATGCTGTTGGCCCTGGATTTTTTTGCATGTCAGCTGTCTTCTGAAAACGGAGGCAAGTTGTCAAATCATTAATTAGCAACTTTTTTGGTGAGGCAGCATCCAGATGCATTGCTTTAAGCATACTGAAAGGAAGCTAGTCTTACTCTGATGCTCTTTTTGGCATATGCCAACAACATAAAAATACAGACTGTTTTGTGCCTTAATAGCTAGTCGGTTGTTATATCAGTTCTAATAAGGAGAAGCTTAGGTAGCCCAAGCATCATGAAATGCAATACAGTAAAAAGAGAAAGAGCTCCAACATTCAAAGTTGAGATATTTTCTAAGTTTATCTTAGAAAGCAACCATGATGATTGAGCTTGAAGCTGGTACATTTGTAGCTGTGAGCAGTTGTTTGTTTTTTTTTGTTGCTTTTTTTTTCTCTTTTGACCACACAAACTAAAGCTGTTACACTTCAGCTGAGGGATGGCGGGGGGTGGGGTCTGTTCCTAGTTAGTTTGGCCAAGTGTTTAGGTATACTGAGGCTGTCCCACTTCTAAGCCCGCACGTTAACCCATCATAACATGCAGTCTGCGGGCCACCAGTTGGACAACTGAGGTAGACTATTTGGATTGCACTGAAGGGCTTGCTGCAGAATTGATTCCTTCTGGGTGTTGGGCCAATCTGCTTTCAGGTCCCAGTGTTAGGGCTTTAACCAATTCTGATCAACATGATCAGTTTTCTACTTGTGTAGATCCAGAGGATTCTGGTTTTTATCTCTGTGGGTTTGGGGTTTAGCTGCCTTTGGATTACTATTAATTATTCTGTTGGAAAGTATTTTTGCTTACATCCACAAGCTCATTTGTAGTACTAAAAAAAAAAAAACCCAAACCCCGTAACTCTTAGTTGTGAATGTTGTTTCTTTTTTCTTGACAAATTTCAGTAAAGTTCTATGTCTAAAACATTGCAGTTTGATCCTATTACTTTTATATAAAAATATAGATTTAACTATAAAAGAGGTCTTTTTAGGCATCTTTTGTGTGAAGAAACTGCTCCAAAGTGCATCTCCAACTACAGCTTCTACTCAGAACAGCCATTGCAATATGGTTACTTCATTTAAGCAACTTCTTGGTCTTCTGACTTGTTTAACATGTTGCTGTTCCAGAAAACAGCTGAAAAGAAATTGTTTGATCATAATCTACTTCACATTTAGTCATAGCTGCTTCCTTTACCAAAACTTACTGCTACTGTAAGCTTTTTTCAATAACAACATACAAAAGCAAACTCACGCATTCAATTACTCCTTAGTGTAACAGAGCTGAAATTCAGCTTCAGCTCTATTTTGGCAGAATCTTGCAGTTCTCTGAAGTTAAATATGAAGTTAGGTGAAGCAAAAACGATTTTAAATATTGAGCATACATGACTGGCAGGGGTATTTGGGGGTGCCTTTTATTTAATGTACATTTTGAAACCATATAAATGCCACTTTACATACAGTACATAGAGGTTTAATACTTACTTGGAGCAGTACAATTTTATCTAGAATTACAGTAAAACTCCTGACATGCCCACGTAGCTGTTGTAGACAACACCCTTGTGTTCCCATTTATTGTACACATCCTGAATTACTCATCCTACCCTTTTTGCGTAGATCTGACACAAATAGGTGATCTGTCTAAACATAAGTTTTAGGACAACTGAGAAGTTGTTGCTTTTCTCTTATTTACCAACCTCTGCTGCTTTGTTAATGTCATACAGAGAAAGCTACAAACCACCTGTTCTCAACAGCCACTGAATAAACTGGAAAGTTAGAAAATAATGTATTCTTTTAAAGGTTGTATTGGGAGTATTTCACACCAAATACAACATTTTAAGTTCCTTTAACGTAGAATTTAAGCATATGCTTTCTTCTGTATTTTTAGGGTTACTTCAGTTTTGGTAGAAGGCGTTCTGCATTCATCATATAAATATTTGAGCCTGTGTAAGGCCATGCTTCCAAACAAATTGCCTTAAGCAAACATTATAGCTGTCGCCATGTTGCAAGCAGGAATCAATGCATATTAAGAGTTTTTGAATGTACAATGGGAATAGTGGTAGGAAAGTCAATTTTGAAACCTCTAGAATCACCTGTAGAAGTTGAGGTGCATAAAATAATCTAGTTGGATATTTTCTCTCCAACTCTTATCCTGAGTCTTTGTAGTGCTCAGAGTAGTTTTACAAGAAGTGTCCAGTGGCTTATTCTGTGTTCTCCATGTAGTCTTATGTTCTTCACTTGAGGATATAACAGACAGAGAAGATGCAACCACTATTCATTTTTTTTTTTTTTTTCTGAACCCTGCTTTGGCAGACTCTTGCCACAATCTCACTATTTTCTGTTATCACAGGGAGGAACTTTGATCCAAGTCATTCATTCAGCACACACCTCCTATCACCAGTAGGTAAAAAGGCAGCAAAAGAGAGGAAAGTTAGCACTGCAAAAATGTTGGTTCTTCAGCTTCCTACATCTAGATTGGCTTCAGATACAGTACTTTGAGGGAAGAGAAGGTGCGTGCTATGCAAGAGAATCAGGCCCCCAAAACTGGCATGCATGTACTAAGGTCTTCAAAAGGAGGCTTGACAATCACCTGGCTGGGATCATCTGACCTCAGTCCTCGTTCCGGGCAGGGGCTCAGACACGATGATCCATTGGGTCCCTTCAGACTCTAAAACCTATGAATCTATAAGCAGGGAGCCACTGCATCCTATACAGCTGCCAAGATAGCTGCCACTTGTCTGACTTAGGAAGTTGAAGGGTTGGAGTAGTGTTAACCTTTTCACAGCCATAGCTATTGGCTGAGCTCTGTAGCTTGTGCCCGAAGGAGCAGGTGAGCTTCTGGATTGCATCTTGATGATGTTTGTGATGCAGAAACATTTTGCTGGCAGGATCTACTTGCAGTAAAGAACTGCCTTGCCAGGGCTGGTGGGGGCCTAACCTTGTGTGATGTAAAGCAAGTCCTCCTGGAACATAACTGTATCAAAGAAGTGTGGCATCCCGGGATGTTCAATCTGGCCGATTTAACAAAAGGCAGTGTTTGCAAAATAAAATAATGGATATTGTCCATGAGACAACACTGACTTACTGATAAGCTTTCATGGATTTTGGCAGGTGGGCCTAAATTCCTCTCTGAAGGCCAGCTGGTTATGAACACATCCTTGCAGGCAAACACTACCAGACTCTCGATTCACATGCTGGATGAGTGTACACACCCTCTTAGAAAGAAAAACAACACAAGATTGCTCTACAACAGTGTTTCTCAACCCATGGGCTGTAACCCAAAAGTGGGTCGCAACAAATATATGAAAGGGTTGTGAAGAAACTTTAAAAATGGATTCTCCTTTAAAAGAGAAAAATGGGGGAAACTGGGCTTTTTTCCGTGCAGGCCTGCAGCGTTCCAGCCTACAAGGGGCTGCTTGGGACCACCCGCTGCTCCACAAAGCTGAGGATGGTGGGGGGCTGCAGGTTGGGAATAAGGGGCACTGGGTTGGGACTGATTATCTGTGTTAACAAATGGGTTCTGGTACACAAAGTGCAGCGAACTTGAGAAACCTAGGAAAAAGCCTTTCAAGGGCAGTGCGCTATGGGATGTTTAAGTACCTTGCTACGTATTACAGCAACCACATAAAGATTTCACTAACTAAAAGCAGGGAGCCAGGAGATGAATGACTAACCACTTCATTGATACATCTACATTCTGAGTTGCAGCAGGCTGGAAGTGACAGCAGTTGAACTTTACGTGGAAATAATATGGAACAATCAGCAAACTATGTTCCTGTTTAATATTGGACTGTATCCTGCTTCTAATTGTAATTACTCAACCTACATACATACATGTGTATTGAGAAACTGCAATTAGTAATTTAGTAATGTATATGGGGGGGAAGATTTAAAAAAATGGACAAAGCAAGCTGCATTTTACAAAATATCAAATTTATTTTTTTATATAAAATATTTTACACATGAACAACTGTACACATGCACACACCCACACAATACTTTACCACAAATTTAGGCCAGTAATTTTTTTTTTTAATTTCATAAATCTAGCACACAATAGTATCTTACAATAATTTACATAATTCTTTGAAGACACAATGGGGAAAGCTTTGATCATTCATTTATAAACCTTCCATAAATTACAAAAGAAAGGCAGTCTGAAAAGTATGTATAAACAGTAAAAACAATTTACAAATGGACAAGAATTACAAAATAGTAACAGCCAATGTTACTGCCAGTAACTTGTAAGATGGCTTAAATCAAGAAACGCCAATACTGAAGTTAGTGTTTTGAGATATTTCTAATCAATTAATTGTTAGAGCTTTTTAACTGGCTACGGTTTTGTGTATGTAACACAACTTTTCACTGCTGAGCCTAATACATGCATTTCATCCTGATTCTGACATCAGTAAGATGAAAAATGATTTTTTTAAAACTGAAAACTGCACTTCCACAAACAAGACCACATGGGGGGGACAGATTATTTTTATTTTCTGGCAGTTTGCTGACACTTTTACACTAGTCATGCCAGGAGCTCTAAAACATTTTGAATGATTAAAACTGTGCATTTTCTGAGTACTTTTATGCAGTATCTGGCTTTTGTACACTGAATATGGAGACTAAAGGAACTTATACAAATATTTTAAAAATGCATCTTGCACAACATTTTCAGACTCCCAGGAGTTACATCAGACATTAAATGGAGTCAGCAACACATTACGTGATCTTGAATTACCATGTCTCAGAGGATGAAGACAGCTGAATACACAATACATACAAAGTATACGCTGTATATTTATTCGACAGTACAAATCATTGTGCATTAATAAGGCAAACATCAAGGCGGATTAAACTAGGAGTTTCAAGACCATTTTTATTAAAAGATAAATACTGGGTATTGCGGGGTGATCTCTTTGAATAAGGATTAGAGGATTTTCTCTTTTCCCCCCATTCTTATGATCAAAGAAGAATCAATGCAGAGATTTATCCAATGGAGTTATAGGTGTGGAGTTGACTTCAAATAAAAAGATGTTATCCTTCTGTCCTTAATTCCCCAAAATCTGTCCCTTTTTTGACGAAAAAAGCACATTGGCAACATTTTGAGCTTTAGTAGCAACAAATCCACTTCCTTTTTTTTTCCTTGCTGTTTGATTAAGCAATTCACATGATTCTACTGATGTCAGAAAGGGTTAAAAAATACAAAGGTGCTGTAAAGATGTGCTGCATAGTCATGAAAGCCCTAGTTTTGAAGTTTAAAAAAAAATACATAGACTGGAAGCTTTACAAGTTGTCCAGAAGTACATGAATCATTTCACTGCACCCAGCTTTTTCAGCAGTTTCTTGCCTTTGGAAAGCAGCCCCTTTTTCTTTTTCGAGGATATTTCCCTGCCTCTCCCGGGGCTACCAGAACCCATAGATGACGGAGGTGACCCAGAATGGAGATGGACTGTGGGGGATGGTGCTCTCCTTGATGTACCTGTATTCTCAGGAGGAACCTATTAGGTATATTGTTATAGTTTATTGAATAGTTGAAAGCTATTCATCATCAAGAAAGTTGGTAACATCACTTTTTGTCCCAATACCCACTTAAAAAAAAGGTCTGCTTGATTTGTTCCTTCAGTAGTTTAATATGCCATCCAGAAATAATGAAAAATACATAAGTACAGCTTCCCACACATGCAATTGTGAGAAAAGGTTGTAGACATCAGAAAATACACACTTGACTGGGACCTTAAATTAATTACACGTTTTTGTTTTTGTTTTTTCAAACAATGATCTGGGGACTGCCATTTTACCATCGTTCTGGCAAAAATCACAAAGTTTTGTATGTCAGTACTCAAGATGATGGTGAGTACAAGAATGACGAGACACTTGTAGCTATGGAATTTAAACAGTGGGTTAAGTACTATAAATCAGCAATCTATATAAGCCAAACAGTTCCAGAAGATATGTGCAAACTATATATGATCACCTATTTTTTTATGTCCTTTAAATGCCTTTTCTTTAAAGTTGGTTAACCTACTGTATATACATATTTAAGATGGCACACTGGTTGAAAGAAAAAAAAAGCTAAAATGAACCTTAATTGCAATCAAAGAAAGCTTAAAGACCCTGATTGCTTGGCGTGTGTGCTGCAGCTATATGATTGCCAGGTGAAGATGAACACTTGTACAATACTTAGAATATGACAGCATTCCTAAATATTTTAAACAGAGCTATTTTAATCATCAAAAGCACTTCAATGAAAATGCTACAACTATTTATACTCAATCTATTGCAACTACTTTTCCCCGCTAACAAAATGTGGTACTGTATGCTGTTTTTGTAGTAGAAATCATGCCTCAGGGACACCTAATATCTTGAATTCCCATTAAGATGTTAACGTGTTAGCGATTTGCTGTCTTGTACAACAGTGAATTAAGCAAAAGGGCTTCAAGCCTACTTTGATTTTAAATCAAGGTCTAATTCTAATGAAAAACAACTTGGTAAAGCACCCCAACGTACACCTGAAGATACCATATATTTAGTCTAATGCATTCATTAGGTGAGCTGCAATGTTTCATATTGACACTTATTGCATTGGTAAACCAAGCTACTACTAGAGTGTTTCACAAATGTTTGCACTGTCTCTGGATAAAACTAGCATATGTAGGGGTGCATGTTTTCAGAATTCTTGAAGTCATAGGCAAACTGGGGTATAATCGATCGTGGAAAACACATTTTTTTAAGGCAGAAAGTTTGAGGTTAATGAGTTTCAGAACCAACTATACCCTTGTAAACTACAATACTGACCTGCTTACAACTCACTTGCTCATTCTTTAAGGGTGGTGGGTTTTGTGCTTTTTTTTCTTTATCTACAGACTCTGAATTTGGATTTCCCAGATTGGCTAACAATGCAATATGCAGCTTCTGTTCGTAGCGTAATTGGACACTAAACTCCTCTTTCAATGTAAACAGAAACATTTAGCTCATGAAGAAATATGTTCCAAATGTTGACCTTTGTAAAGTGAACCCTAATTAGAAGGAAACCCTTGGTTATAATTTCAAAGGATTTCTTTGTCTCTTGGAAATAAGCTAATTTTCAAATACACACAGTAAGTGTCTGTATCCTGTTATATTAGGGCCAATGATTTTGGAGACATATTTCTTTTTTCCACAGTTAAGTTTCAAGACTGTTGCATTAGATACTGTCAGGTAGCTTTAATTGATATCTTTATTGGTATCTTCAGTTGCTCACTTACGTGAAGGCTACATTGCCTTATTAAGGTGTGAAATGAACACTCTTCTTCTGTTTCCAAGCAGATGAGCAAAGAAATAAAAATATATATAAAAATATATAATATATAAAAATATTGCAGTGATGAAACAAACCAAAAATGATTCACTCTAAATATGAATAATATTTCATAAAGGATAAGATTTGGGCAGCTAACTCATGTTGGGAAGACAAATCTTAAAAACGGTTAAAGGAAATTATTGTTAATCAGCTATTCTTTACATTTCATATTTGAGTTAATGTTTGTCCCACTCCTTCCCCATCCCCTACTGCTTGTGTTTTCACCTAGGTATTGTGTATAGTACGTAGAGTTTGAAGTTTGAGACTGAGCACTTTCACTAGAAATAGCTGAAGAAATTAAAGTTACAATTGAAAGATTCTGGTGAATGATTTTTTGTTTTAATTTAGGTCTGTAATTTCTAAGTGTTTATGGCAGACTAGTGGAAGGATAAGTGAACTCTTTCCATAATTTAAAATTAAGATTACCTAAAATGGACAAATGAGTTTTTAAAATGTGAAAAAATAATATCGAAACAAAATAAGAGATGATACTGTATGGAAAAATTGTAAAGATTATTTCTTTTTAATGCAGTTGCTTACCCTTTTTGCTTTTGTACGCATTGGTGTGTCTTGAGCATATCGTGATGGTGCATCAGAAAGATAGACTTCTACATCATCAGGCACTTCTTCAAGAAAGTTTGAAGGAACCAGCCCCTTCTGTCCATTCAGTTCACCCTATGGCATAGTAAAAATTGAACTGGTTTATGCTTTTAAATAAATCAATGCACAAATCTTCTGAAGAAGGGAAATATTACTTTTCTCAATTAAAAAACAATTACTTTTTCTCAGTTAAAAAAAAATGAGAAAAAGAGTGAGGTAGAGACACTGTACTTTGTCCAAGATCACATGAGAAATCTGACTGAAGCCAGCAGAGTTTAAATATCCTGGTTCCCCAATCCTGTGCTTCAGCAGCAAAGGTTATCCATAGTAGGCATTTTATATAGATCGTATTAGTACTACAACCTATTATACATCAGGTACCTATAATTCAAGTGTCATCTGTGGGCATGACGTGTTCAGGGAATCATAGAAGATTAGGGCTGGAAAGGACCTCGGGGTCACATCCAGTCCAACCCCCTGCTCAAAGCAGGACCAGCCCCAACTAGATCATCCCAGCCAAGGCTTTGTCTAGCCAGGTCTTAAAAACCTCCAGGGATGGAGATTACACCACCTCTCGGTTTAGGTTACTCCATGCATTCACTTCCTGGTGAATATATCGGATGCACATAATTAAAATGGAACCACTTCATTAGCATTTTGGCATGGGAGTCCAAACCCGCTGTCCCACATAATTCTGATTTGAATAGGTCCCTAAACCAGTCCTAACTCCAGGAGATTGCTCCAGGCTGCGAATGCCAAGTGGAGGCCATGCCAAGCGCAGCCCAGAATTAGGTGCTCAGTCCTGGGAAAGAGCCAGAATTGAATGCACTCTTTTCTCACCACTTCCTGCTGGATGTGTTAGGGGATCCTCTGCTCAGTTTGCTGGCTGTTGTGAATCCTACTCGAAGGCACCTAACCTAGCGAAAGGTTCCACTTTGGAGCCCTCTTGGCTAAGCCCCTACCTTGTGAGCCGTAAGGCATTATCTTCCACTTACCTTGCCTGCAGGGCTTGAGATACTGGAGGACGACACTTGTGATCGGGCCCCCAAAACCAGAGTGGTATGATATTAGAATTCCCTTTTTACTCTGCAGCTTAGTGCAAGAATATGGGAGACATGCTTAAAGAAAAGTGGACCTGCGTCTTCCCCCATCTCCGGTGACTGCTGTAGTCACCAGTAGTTGGGATCTCAGAAAAGGTATTTAGTCTACTAGGTCTAATGAAGATTAATTCAGTCAGCTAACGCTCCACAGCTGTTCCTAGAGAGATTGGCTACTGGGCTAAACAGCTTGGATCTCCAGCCCCACGCTCCTGCACCACAATGCTTGGCCTGTCACCTGGTTCCTATGAGCCTTAGCTGCTTTCTGACTTTGGCTGACGACTGTCAGGTTGTCTCCTGGTCCCAAATGTTGGGTCTGACCGATGGGATGGACTGCCTGCCCCTGCCAGCCCATTAAAGTCTGTTAGTCTGGGACAGATTTCTCTTTGGGATGATAAAAGTTTGTATTGGGCCAAGTGGCGGGGGAGAGAGTAAGGACAATTATATAGGTCTGCTATGTGGTTACCCATCTGGAAGGTTATACACACACACACATATATATATACACACATATATAAATAAAATCCAGTGACTGTTTCATTATGTTAAATTAGCCATGAGCTTAGTTCTCTTCCCTCCTGGGTGCCCCAACCTCTAGGTATTTGCCATATTCATTCAGTCAAATGTCAGACATGTTGAACGTGGGTATCACATATCCCAGGGGAGTGCTCTGTTTTTAGATAAAGATTTGAGGACATCACCACTTCTTCCTCCTGCCATTGTGAGGAAAGGCTGGTGTAGGCTTGTAACTCCCAGAGGAAAATCAGGGTTGTGATTCCTGATGGATAAGGTACCTATTTAGCTTCTCTTCACTTTCCTATTGGCTACCTTAGGTGGCTCCTCCCTCAGCATGAATAAATACTGTGGGTCCCATCCTCAGGTATCTTACCTCTCCCCATACAACGTATGTGGGCCTTAAGCCCCTAACTCAGGGCTGTAGGTCCTCTAGGCAGCAGGATGCCTAAAATTCAAGCATTGCAACACCAAGTACCTTATGCTGCCTCCATGGTCTTGCAGGCATAACCTGGGTTCTTGTGTTCCCTAGATCCAGGAAAGCAAACCCTTGTCAACAAGTTGGGAGGAGATAATTTCAGCCTCTGAACTGCTCACCAGCACTGACCACATAGGGTTATTTCTCCACCCACTCTGCACTCTTCCTCCCCGACTCCCCCCACAAAGCTCCTTTGCTCAGACAAGTGATCTCTATGAATTGCGGATCTTAATGGGTGGGGAAAGGTTTCGCAGTTGCTCCTGTTCCATGCAGGGTCATTTTTGCCATCTGATTTAAAGTACTTCATTAGCTGCATGCTTTTACACATACTTTTTGGCACTTAGAGAGCTACAAAAATGTTAAGTCTGCCCATACCGTCAGTTAAATATTCAGGTGATAAATCCTGAACAAGACAGTTTAACTTTCCATCTCTGAGCCTCTCACAGTCATCTTCCTGTGAACTCTCAGTTGAAACGTTCCTCACTTGAGCCAGAGAGAGTTAGTCATGGGCTATGTCAGATGAACGTTTATGTGGCTGTATTCAGAATCACAGAAAATGAGGGCGGGAAGGGACCTTGGGAGGTCACATCTAGTCCAACCCCCTGCTCAAAGCAGGACCGTCCCCAACTAGATCATCCCAGCCAAGCCTTTGTCTAATTGGGTCTTAAAAACCTCAAAGGATGGAGCTTCCATCACCTCTCTGGGTAACCTGTTCCAGTGCTTTACTACCTTCCTAGTGAGAGTGTTTTTTTCCTAATATCTAACCTAAACTTCCCTCGCTGCAACTTGAGCCCATTGCTCCTTGTTCTGTCATCTGCCACCACTGAGGACAGTCCAGCTCCATCTTTGTAACCCCCTTCAGGTAGTTGAATCCCCTCTCAATCTTCTCTTCTCCACACTAAATAAACCCAGTGCCCTCAGCCTCTCCCCAGAAGTCATTTGCCCCAGCCATTACTTTAGCCATAGACACGCCTGGACATATCTACATTGACGAGGCATAACCAGCAGTAGGTAACTACGTATTATCGAGGGGCACCGTTAATGGACTGGCACCATAGCAAACTTTCAAGATGGAAATGTGACCTGAAAACCTTCCAGATGTTATTTTATGACCCATTGTCTGTGAACCACTCTTTCAGGTACTACGCAAGACAGTAAGAAATGCTTCTAGGTGCCGTTTAAAACGATCAAATAAAAGGAAACTTACATAGTAAAATCCATCTTCATCAATTTCCCCAAATACTGCAATAATATCTCCTGTACAGAACGTTAGCTCAGCCTGTAGAAAGAGGGAAGTATGAGTGATCACGGTGCGTTACTGTGCAGGTCAAATTTAATAAGGCCCATACAGGTTTCCTTATTTTGTAGCATTGTCTCTACCATTTTATTTTCTTTTACATTCAGCAATGGAAAAGGTTTAGTGTTTTTGTGCTCTTTACCACCTGTTGCATTAATGGCAAACTGCATCCATATTTTTTCTAAGTTAGTTATTGGACAACTGGGTGACTTGGGGTGTTGAATTATGGGAGAAAAATATTCATCTGAAGAAAGCAGAAATGTCCTTTTTCTAAATGACTGACCCCAGGAATTTCTTGACCAAGTCTGAACTAGCTCTGACTGCCACTCTCTTTGTACAGAGAATCCCAGAAGGAAATCTCAAGGAGGATCTCCTTCATGGAGTGCCGACCCTGCTGTGGTTCAAGGGGTAGGTAGGACAAGCAGGAGGCCCACGATCTGCTGCCAGTGCCCAGTGACATCTCTGCTAGAGATCTGCTACCAGGGACTCTCCCCGGTTGCAACATCCCCCCTCCCCAGTCCCTTTAGCCTCCAAGGAGAATAGTGTGCAACACCTCTAGGCACTCCCCATGCAGTAGGAAGGAGGACTGGTGTGCGACCACGTCAGTCCTTGCACACACTTTTTAGCAGGGAGCTCATTTTAGGGGTGGCACTGCTGAAGAGGGAGATTCACATGCAAAACGGGACAATATGAGGCCTTTCCATAGAAGCCTTACAGTCTTGGCCACTTGTAGCCTTGTCACGCTCCCGCACCTTTTCTGTCACTGAATCAGTTTTGCATCTAAAACTGCAAAGTGTGAGAGTTTCATAGCAGGGTCAGAAGGGACCTGAGCAGATCATTAAGTCCAACCCCCCTGCCATGGCAGGAAAGAGTACTGGGGT